TATTAGGCCATATATAATAATTAGTACATATTGTTATGTCCACGGAACATAATTACTCTCTACGTTATGCCTGTTACGAGTTGATAACGGAGGGTAGATAAATGTGTCGCCTATGGTCCGGTGATTATGAAGCACATAATGACGTGTCGGTTACGGTTCGGCGCACGGTAATTTTTTTTAATCGAGTTTGAAAATTGTGAACGATTCCATTGTCCAAGCCGTCACCGTTATAAGATAGAATTTGTGCCGTATATTTGTGGAAATGTTATTCGTAACAACGCCGAACGTCCACCGCAAACTAAACTAACGTAGTTTATCTTAGCTCGCATAGCTGAGGCAGTATTTTATATATGTGCGTCCACCGCAAACTATGCCAGCTAAGCTAGGTAAAATAGCCAAACTAAGTCAAACTAATTTAGTTGTGTAGGCCGATCCGAAACTACGCGAACGAAGCTAAACACCTCTCACCCCCACACCTTACCCCTCTGGTGCGAATCCCTTAGTGTTATTTGTTTTAGCTTATTTTTCGGTGGACGTGCAACGATTTTCAACGTTAGCTTAGCTTAGCTCACTGAGGGTTTTCACATAGTTTAGTTCGCGGTGGACGTTCGTCTTAAAGAACTTTAGAGACAAAGTGAAACAAGTAAACCTCTGTTATTCTTTACATACGAAATACAGTTCAAAAGCCGTTTACAATAAACTTTTTATAAAAATTTGCGAGGTTATTAAGTGATTTTATAGGGTGTAAAAATAGAATATATTCTATTCTAGAGAAAGTAGAGTTTAATATTTTTTTACAAGTATTTAAGTGATGCTTATTGGAAGTAATTTATGCTTTTACCACTTCTTCAGAAAACTCCTGCGCTGGAAAGAACCAGCAAGAAACCGAGATTTACAATATTACAATGTTTACTTTTCCCGTCAATCACACTTAAAATTGCAATAAATAATTTCATTGGTGTCGGTGGGTTTCGAACCCTGAGCCTGAGCTACTCGGATCCAAATTTCACGTACCGATCAGTTCATTATTGGACAAGCCTATATTCAGAAAACTGCTATAACGAATAGTGAATAATGGGAACGTGCGCTGGAATACAATGACGTTTCCTCTCCTGTTTCATCGAACTAGAACAGGTGGTTTTGTTTTGGCGGTCAACTTTACCTAAATACAATTAAAATTGTGTCTTTCTATAATTTAGTTTCAAGCACACTGACATTATCATTAGAAAGTATATTCGTAGAAACTATACGCTAACTATACGCTGTACGTCCCTAGGTGACTAGGTGACTCTATCACATATAAAAATCCATAAAAATGTTACGACCATAGATTAAAACTTATAGATTAATAATTAAAAATTTTAAATTTTATACAACCGACTTCAATATAAATTATTAAGAATAACTCAAAAACTATCGGTCATACCTTGATCAAATTTATGTGAGACCATATGTGAAGCACCAGCTTTCAATTAAAAATAGAATCATCAAAATCAGTTCGCCCAGAAAAAAGTTATGAGGTAACACACTTAAAAAAATATACAGTCGACTTGAGTACCTCCTTCTGTTTGAACTCGGGTAGAAAATATAAACCATTGTCGATATTACAACAAGTGTTCCATATCTAAACAAGACATCATCAAGAGAAATAAACTTTGTAACGGCTAATCACTTAGCAAGCCATTTTTGCACGTCAATTTCAGCAATTATTTTACATTTCTTTGTGGTTGTTCTGACCATTTATAGGGATACATGTGTCCTTAAACGAACAATTAAAAAGGTTCCTACACATACTTTTTATTAAATTTACGTCCACCTAATGCTAAGTTGATGCTGTGAGGCTGTGGAACATAGACGCCTACATTTTGGATACTATATTTTATCTCTTTTGTAGTATGAACCCCAAGTGTATAATTTTGAAATGCTGCGAATGCATAATACTACAATTAATAGTCCTCCAGACCAAATTTTGGTCACGGCGGTCAGTCTCAACGTAGACTGGCATCTGCATTAGTAAAGAGTGTAACATTTTATACATGGTAGAGCCATGCTGCATCTATATTAGTAGTATAGTTGTAGCACGAATGGGTAAGCTCGACCGGGGAAGGACCACGCTCTCACAGAATACCAGCGTAAAATAGCAGCTTAACACTGCTGTGTTTCGTATGGTGAGTGTAGAGAATCGGAGACTCTTTTTACTGGAAAAGAGGCATTCCATCTTAGTCCTCACTGGTGACAACGCATCTGCATTTTGATTCGCAAATGAGGATAGATGTAGATGTCTACGGGCCACAGTATCCACTTACCATCAGGTGGACTGTGGGATCGTTTGTCACTCTATCCTATAAAAAAAGTATGAATCCAAAGTGTATAATTTTGAAATGCTGCGAATGCACAATACTACAATTTAAAATCCTCCAGACCAAATTTCGGTCACGGCGGTCAGTCTCTACGTAGACTAACATCAGCGCATGATAGGATTATATTTCCCAAAGCGAATGCCCAAACATAGGAGAGCACTCTTAATTTCCACGCTGTCGTAGTCTGATGGTATGGTAATCCGATACGATCTTAGAGAGATCTGGCGAAGCATCAACAGCTTTACGTGCTTTCCGGGGCATGGGGTAAAACAACGCCAAGTTCCTGACTCCAGGCCGTTATTGAGAATTTCTTGATAGAAAAAAACCCAATAACCGATTTTGGCATGACACGGGATTCTAACCTGGGACCTCATGATCAACAATTGCGGTAACGACCACTAGACCTACGAGGCACTCCGTTCGAATGTATATCTAGATGCAAAGTAGAGACTGAAAGAGTTCGGTTCTGATAATAGAATCAGAACAGAAAGCAGAACCTTTACTTAGGTTACTGTAAGGTACCTAAAGTTACCGTCAGATATGACGGCATTCGAGCGAAACAAGTTCTAACTTGTTTGACCAGTATACTGTTCAGGACAGTAGCAAAATTATACCGGTGGAAAAACATTACGCATTTATAGGTACATTTCTTTATCCTAATGTTACGATCGAAGTAACGATGAGAAACAGCAAAAATACTTGTACAACGCTATGAAGGCTCGCACCATCGACTTTGAACTTGAATATCTTGTAATATGCAACTGGTATTATAGAACAGGTATTTTATAACCGACACCTTAACCAGCTCATACCGATAAGGGGTTTTCTTATGAAGAACCATAACGACGTTGTGTATTGGTTTTCTAACTCGTAATTCAATCACTGAGCGAAAGTTTAAATAAATACACTGGTCGATTATGATGAAATTCTAAATTCTCCAGATGATAATTGTGATTTTGGTTTTATTGGATCAAAGATCAGAGATCCATCGACTCCCTGTCTCTCATGCTTCATCAGGTTGTGATTTCAATGTGCTCGTGATTAGATGCTTAATATTACGCTTGTCAGTTCAAGATTGCCCAACTTTTCTTCCCCATAAACTGTCGGGTTTTTCAAGCTTTTTCTTTTATAGAATAAGGATGACAAACGAGCACACAGTCCGCCTAATTGTAATTGGATGCTGCGGTTCATAGACATTTACATCATTCACGGTTAATAATCAAAATGCAGATGCGTTGTCACCCGTGAGGACTAAGATGGAATGCCTAGTTTCCATTAAAAATTGGTCTCCGGTTCTCTACCCTCACCATATGAATGAGCAGTATTGAGTTGCTATTTCACGCTGGTATTCTGTATTAGCGTGGTCTTTCCCGGTCGAGCCGACCCGTTCGTTCTACAGCTATAACGATAATATAGTTGCAGCGTGGCTCTACCACGTGTAAAGATAGGTGACTAGTTTAGTCCTTTAGATGGTATTACTCCTTTTCTACCGACTTCAAAAAGGAGCCGGTACTCAATTCGACTGTACTTTTTTTTTATTTGTGTTACCTCATAACTTTTTACTGAGTGAACCGTATTCGAAGATTTTTTTTATTTGAAAGCTGGTGCTTCACATGTGGTCACATATAAATTTGATCAAGGTCTGACCAGTAGTTTTTGAATTATTCTTATTAATTTATATTGAAGTCGGTTGTACAAAATTTTTGATTTTAAATTATTGAATTACGAATTCCTTGGGTTTTCATCAATCCTCTTGCGTTTTATTGCCGCTATATAGCAGTAAGTGCAGTGCTCTGTTCTGGTTTGAGGGGTAAAGATAGTAAGTATCATAACAAGCTGTGATGTATTTCATTTTGGTCTTCAATGATGACAACGCGTTTGTGTCCTCCTTTGTTTGATGTTGACTGTAGGTCTACATGCATTACCGTAGCCACATACCATCAGGTGGACTGTTAATTCATTTGTTACAGCATATTTTTTTTAATTTTACTGGCCTGATATGCTTTGGCAGTAACTATTATACTGCTACGAATATCCTTGTAAATTTAATCAGGTACCGCAAAACCCCGAGGATAACTCTCCATTGATGGCTAAGTGACTTTGAACTTCCTCATGCAGCTAGCAGAGAAGAACCACGATTCGGTGGTACACTATATGCTTCAGACAGATCAATCGATTAACCTCTTGGTTTAAGTTTGAAATTACTTTTATTGTATGTAAGAGAGGGCAAACGAGCATGCGACTCACCTGATGGTGTGTCGACCGCCGCACAGGAACAATTTTTAAAATTTAGCATTTTTTTTAAATTCATAATATTATAAGTATTATCAATTTGCAGCAAGCTACAAGTATAATGAATTTATATTGTTACATAATTACATACCAAATTATGGAATCTAACCGTTCGTTTTTGTATAAAATTATATTTATTCAAATAAGTTAGCTAGTCATGTTTATAGCTAAATTATGACTATAAAAATGCATAATCAAATAATGAACTTAAACAAAGCCCAATACAGTTTCTGTAGTAACCTTCAGAACAACAAATCGACGGCCTACGCCGGAGATAGATGGACAGACAAACAAAAAAGCAACAATCGTCGTAATTATTATAAACACTGCCTGCTGGCGGGAGAGTTCAGTTGGAGGGATGCCTTTACAGAACAAACATCAAAATTAAAACGCAAAATGCTTTTTTAAATTCCTCAATGAAATAAATTGTGAACTACTTATAGATTAATAATATGTGAGTGAAAACATAGCTTTATTTTTTTTTGTTTACGCAAACAAGTTTTGCGGCCAGTGCTATTTACAGCTTAGAATGAACTTTGCGTGTTGTTAAGCCAAAGCGAAATGAAGATGGAACGCATAATATTACTGGTGAGTTTTATAATAATTGTATTTAAATTAAGTCTATGCAAGAAAATACTGACAAAGATCATTCTCATTAGATATTTTGCAAAGTATGCATGAGATGAAACACGTAGTATTAATCATTTTTTGCATAAAATTATAAAAGATTTTTAAATGTTAAAATACACCAAGAATTTATTCATTTTTGTTTATTAAAATGTTTAAATATTGTTCCTTTCATTTGAGTTGCAGTTGTATTTCGTGACAATTAAAAAATGGCTTCCTTAATAGCAAATGCATTTTCGAGATATTTAAGAAATATTTCATGAAATCAATTAAGTATTTCTCTTTTTAAGTAATATTTCATAAAATAAATTATATTTATTTTATAAAAAACTTAAACCGTTGCTGCCACATGTATGTTGTTTGCTATTTTGTTTATTTCTTTAGTTTGTATTTTTGTTTTTAAAAACTAAATTAGACCAGTCTGACCTAAAGTATCCGGATCGGTGTCGAGGGGTAGCGACTAATGCTTCATAATAAACAATTATACTATAATATATGCAATATATTATATTATAGAGATATAGAGCTTCCGAAGTGCACTCCGTCTATCTCTATTTGATTACTCCTACATTGCCCTGACTCTCGTCGCATTTTTCACACTAACTTGCCTTAGCAAACTTAACTCTTAAGTATACGTGTCCTGGCCTACCCAATTATTTTGCAAATAAACTATATTATCTCTATATGTATATAAAAATCAATTGCTGTTCGTCAGTTTCGAAAATGGCTAAACGGATTGTGGTGAATTCTTTTATGTGTGTTTGATCTCTGTATGGTTTAGATTCACAATTGGAAAATCACCTGTGCGGAGCTAGTGTTAATTAAAATAGTAAGAATCGATAGTTTTTTTTTCTATAGAATAGGGTGACAAACGAGCACACAGTCCACCTGATGGTAAGTGGTTACTGTGACCCATAGACATCTACATCTATCCTCAATAAAGACTCGAGAAGCAGATGCGTTATCACCCGTGAGGACTAAGATGGAATGCCTCTTTGCCAGTAAAAAGGGTCTCCGGTTCTCTACACTCACCATCCGAAACATAGCAGCGTTAAGCTGCTATTTTACGCTGGTTTTCTGTGAGAGCGTGGTCCTCGGTCGAGCCGACCCATTCGTGCAACAACTATACTACTAATATAGCTGCAGCATGGCTCTACCACGTAAAATATATTAATTTATATTATGATAGTAATTTATTAAAAACCAACTTCGCGATTAAATAACACTGTGTAACAAAAAAACTTTGTCCACTAGCGATATCTGGTGATCAGAAAATTATTAGCCCTCATTGTGACTCTTGACAGTCGAATTGGTGATCATAGATGGTGAGAACATCTATACAAATAAATAAAATTGAGGTGTCTGTTTGTAATGTCAAAATAACAGCTTTTTACTAAATGCATATAAAAGTATATACGGTACTTATAACAATAACACAATTTTTAAAATTTTTGTCTGTCTGCTTGTTCCGGCTAATCATCAAAACAGTTGGACCAATTTTGACGGAACGTTCACTGGAATATAACTAATGTTACAAGGAGTAACTTAGGTTACTTTTATTTTAGAAAAGGAATTAGGGTGCCGCGCAAAGAAATTAAAGCCCATAAAATCCCATCGTAATAAATTACACGCGGGCGAAGTCGCGGGGAACAGCTAGTTATGATATAAAATCGAGTAAGCTCGAATCTGATCACACTCAAATCTGAAATCCTACAATTTGGTTATTGACACAATCATCACCGTTACCGTTACAGCTTATCAAAAGTGGACTTTTGATAAGCTGTGTAACAAAAAACTTTGTCAACTAGCGACATCTGGTGATCAGAAAATTATTAGCCCTCATTGTGACTTGACAGTTACCGTTACAGCTTATCAAAAGTCCACTGCTCAACATAGGCCTCCCCCATAGATTGCCTCATAGGAGGACATTTGCCATAGTAGTAATGTTACTGTTGATTTAATAATTTCGCCTCTCAGCGGGTCATGTGCTCCTGGTAGATTATCTTCTATACAACCATTCATTACTGCAAAAGTCCACTGCTCAACATAGGCCTCCCCGTAGATTGCCTCATAGGAGGACATTTGCCATAATTGCCAAACTTGGCAGACGGGTTGGTAACCCATTTTATTTTTTAGCTCTTACTCTTATGAGGAAGCGCTGCTGCCCATCGCCTGAGTTGTACGCTCTCTTGCCTCTTACGAAACTCACAGGATGAAATGGGATAGTTGATATTATTACACCACCATTACACGTCATTCATTAATAAATTACACAATCAATGATAAATTAACAATCATTAATAAATTATTACTAATTCACATAATTTGAATTTGCTAATTTTAGTAACGTTTTAAAACTCAATCAATTTTCAATTTTAAAGTAAGTAAATTAGATTTAAAAGTATACAAAAAAAAAGACGATAATAATAATTTGATTATAAAAACTGTGACGTATGTATTTCCATAGTAATTTTTATACAATATTTAAAGTTTTTGTTTTGACATCTCATAAAAAATATTTAATTTGTTGTGTTAACTATCCAAATTATTGTGCTTTTCAACCTTGTTCAATAAAAGGACCAACCGACTAAACAAAACAAGGAGGTTCTCAATTGGACTGTATTTATTTCATGTGTGTTACATGACTGTATGCCACAGTTGCCAAGCTTGGCAAACTGGTTGGCTACCGCAGTTTTTTATTTTTAGTCGTTACGCTGCTGGTCATCTCCTGCTTTGTTTCCCTCTGTCGCCTCTTACGATACCCACGGGATGATATGGGGTAGTGGATATCTTACACCGCCACTACACAGTAAAATAAAACTATGAATTGTGGTCTTATTTCGACCACAAGGACTACTAGGTAACATAACTAGGCCACAATGCAAAATGTTATAAAACACAGTCAGCCATGTACTTAATTTTCATTTACAAACGATGTGCATATTTTCGAGTGATTACAAAATTTTGCCATTCATTAAAACAAAAGACCACATTATGCGTGTTACAATTAAACACATTTTTTTGTTTCTCTTCCCCACAACCTTGATTTCCTTACGCAACGATCCCATAACCTTTGTGTAGTGTCCACGGCTCTGCAATTATAAAACTATCACAATTATAGTGGTACGAATATTATGTAAATTAGTTGTTTAACAATGCAGCCATGTTTCACATTAGTTATATGAAATATTTTAGCGAACTATTTTAATTCAGTTTTTTTCAGAGGTAAGGTTCTTTTTCTGACTAGGACTCAATTTGGGTGGATATCACCCTATTTTTGTGTGAGCAGAGAGCAGAAATATAAATAGATTTGTTTGACCAGATGTCGCTAGTTGACACTGAGGTAAAGTTTTTTGTTACACCATATAATTTAATTGAGAAGTTAGTTTTTTAATAAAATTCTGTCGGTTTCTAGAGTATTATATTAATACACAAAACAATGCGTCAGTGGTTTGCTCTTTAATTTTTTGCACATTTTAAACTTTTTTTAAATTTTTCTACTTTTATATATTTCTGTGGTTTGGTTTATTTATTTTGAATGTTATTAATATAAAATATAGCTAACAGTACAGAAAGAAACAATAACTTTTACATTTTCCGAACAAATTAACTTCCCCGCTATGAAATCTGTCAAATATTATACCTCACTACCTAGTGGCGCCGCCATGTTGGCAGAAAAGGTCGTGGATGGCCTCATTCATTGCCTCAGTTAGCTTGTTAGTGATCGATCTGAAGGGCATAGAGAGTAAGTATAATACAGACTGTGAAGTATTTCTCAGAGCTGACAACACTTCTGTAGCTAGCTATCTTTACTTGGAGACTGGAAGTTGCGTCCACACTTTGGTGCGTTAGTTGCAGGTGCCCACGAACTGCAGTAGCCATTTACCATCAGGTTGAATGTAGGTTCAATTGTCACTGTGATAAATAAAACACATTTAAAAACTAGCTTATGATTTAGTTTTTGTTGATGTTACATTTATTTACATAACATTGAAAATGTATACAATATAAAAAAATTATAATAAATAAAAACTAAAACTAAAAACTTAAATTATCATTCAGTCCTACTTCACGTGGTGTCGTGACAAGAACGCTGGCTGCGTTTCCTCGCTGAATGGCTATGCTTAGCCTTTAAGCGAGAAACCATCTCTCTTATCACCAGCAGCAACTACCAGTCGTTTTTTTAATTTCATTCATTGGAATCTTAATCGAGAATAAATGTAGATGTCTATAGGCTACAACATCCACTTATCATAAATTAGACCCCCACACGTTTGTCACCCTCGCTTGTAAAAAAAACGTAGTTTTATACCCTAATATATCGTCTCAGTAAGGAAAGTAGTTTTAGGCTGTTACCTCACTAGACCATTTATCATTATAAAGGGTATAACAGAAATAGTGACTCACCACTAGATGGAGCGACGACTTGATAAGAGATGAAGGAACTAGAGGACGTAGGGTAGCTCAGGACCGCGCTTTGCGACATTCCTTGGGGGAAACCTATGTCATTCAGTGGAATTGTGAAGGACTAGATAATGATGATGAGATGGTGATAGGATATAATGAGGTTGAACAAAATGCCAATCCCTCCTGTACACAAGAGTAAAAAAAGCGGCAAACAAAATTCGAAAATATCATGCCCTAACATCACTGACTGGAGATATGGTGTTGAAGCCACGACAAGGTAAGCCCTCCGGTGAAACGAGATGGTTATATCACTTACTATCGGAAGGCATAAAGGTCTTTCTGGCATTACCCATAGACACCTGTTACGACACCACAAGGACTAAATGGAGAGATGGATTTCCTAAGACGCTTTTTTACGTGGTAGAGCCACGCTGCAGCTATATTATAGTTTTAGCACCAATGGGTCGGCTCGATCGGGGAAGAACCACGCTCTCACAGAACATCAGCATAGAATCGCAGCTTAACAGTAGAGAGAACCGGAGACCCGTTTTACT